AGCATCCAATGACAATGACCGTGTTATTTATAGACAATTATCTATTCCACAAAGGTGTTCGCGAACACGGGTTTGACAGTATTCACCACTGACCATTTTAATAGTCACGTTCAGTCAAAGTAAGCAGACTCAACTCGAGTAAGCAGCAATGTGCAATAGAAATTACACAAGATGTGAATTTGTGTATGCGTGCAGGATCAGGAGGCACCGTACTACCTGGGCATGTGTTACGAGAATGGCTGGGGCACTGCGGCAGATCTGCAGCAGGCAGCGGAACTGTACTCAAAGGCGGCGAATGATGGCCATATTGCTGCTACTCACAGCCTTGGTTATTTCTATGAGCACGGCTTGGGAGGTGAGCTCCACGGTCCCTACAACGGTCTCAAGTTCTTTTAAGCATGAACTTGTTTTTCACGTCATCAGCAACATCCTCGCTAACATTTGCCTCTGCTAAAAAATATGGCTTTGATAATTTCTCTCTTCGATGCAGAAATACGCGTCGTGTCTGTTAGTCACACTGTACCTGTTCGCTGAGGTTACATTGCAACTGGTGTATTTGTATGATGCCCTAAGACGTTTTTGGAATGAAAATTGTAAAAATTTACATTTTATACATTTGTGTACTGGAACAGAAATCACACGACTGTTTGCTGCTACTTACAAAATATTGTCACTTCCGTTGCATTCTTTAGTTGCAAGTAGTATGCGTTACTCGTTTAAATTGCTGCAGGATTAATGGCCAACAAGTCATTTGCCGAGGAACTGTACAAAATGGCCGCAGATCTTGGTGATATCAGCGCTCAACTTGATTTGGAGAGATTGCAGGCTTTTGAAGCCATTGCTAGCGACAAAGGTAATTACCCATTGTAAGGTCTCACTAATTAGCAGTGTTGCAGATCTCGAGGCCGGTTTCTTTGGTCTCGGCCTCGGAGTGCAATGACTCGGACTTGAGCCCTCCTGACTTGAGGACTCAGGTCGGGGCCGGCTCGAGGCCACTACATAGTACATAACTGTACATATTGTAAACACGCAGTTTACAAGAATTTAAAACTAAAACTCCTACCTAATACAAACAAGTGACAGATCCAGGTAGCAGGAGACACCCCACATTTTTTAACAAACACCTACATAGAAGTGAGCGGCCTTGTCGGTCTGTGCCCCCTTTTTTTTCATCAAAACTGGACTCGGACTCGGGGGGGGGCGGTGTGGACTCGGATTCGGACTCGGGAGTCGCGGACTCGGACTCGGGGTGGGAACAGGAATGAGACTCCCCCCATTTTTGAACAAACACATACATAGAAGTGAATGGCCTTGTCGGTCTGTGCCCCCCTTTTTTTCATCAAAACTGGACTCGGACTCGGACTCGGACTCGGACTCGGGTGGTGTGGACTCGGACTCGGGTGGCGCGGACTCGGACTCGGACTCGGACTCGGACTCGGACTCGGACTCGGGGGG